AATGGGCGGGTGTTGGAGTGTTATGCCGGGTGTTGGAGTGTTATACCGGGTGTTGGAGTGTTATGGGCGGATGTTGGAGTGTAATGGGCGGGTGGAGTGTTATGGCCGGATGTTGGAGTGTAATGAGCGGGTGTTGGAGTGTTATGGCCGGGTGTTGGAGTGTTATGGCCGGATGTTGGAGTGTAATGGGCGGGTGTTGGAGTGTTATGCCGGGTTTTGGAGTGTTATGGGCGGATGTTGGAGTGTAATGGGCGGGTGTTGGAGTGTTATGCTGGGTGTTGGAGTGTTATGGCCGGATGTTGGAGTGTTATGGCCGGGTGTTGGAGTGTTATGGCCGGGTGTTGGAGTGTTATGAGCAGTATTATTCAATATGGGCAGGCGCGCCGCTTATGTGGCACCAGAAGCGCGTGAAGCGGCCTTCGTATCACGCCTCTCAGACGCCCACACAAAATATGGCGTCGTGCTCTGTTGTATATTGCGTTTGCTCTGTTTCTTTGTGCCTTCTGCGTATGTGTGCTGCTGTATTTCTGTTTTTTATCGAGATGTGTTAGGTTTGTGTAGTGTTAAAAAATATACTGATTTACTTATTCACTAATTGAGTTATGTCGCATTCGCCTTATAAGTCAACTTTCTGTAACACCACCCTCATCATTTTTCCTTAACATCACTCTCACCACCTCTCCTAAACATTACCAACACCACCTACACTACTGCCCCCTCTTGCCCCCACCCCCTCCTGCCCCCCTCTGCCCCCCCAACCTCTTCTCTGACCCTGAGATCGTTGCCATGGCGACGCTCACAGCTGGTCGCCTTTAAAGAAAGTCGCTTGTTGGGGAGGTGGGGGTATACCCCCCAGGGGCGTGTATCTGGGGAAGGGGGAGTATGGAAAGTATAGAAGGGGGGGGGGGGTGTGTCCCCCAACGCCAGGAGAGGGAGGAGGGGGAGGGGTGAGTTCTCCCAACGCTACAAGGAAGGGGTTGGGTTGTACCTATAGCAGCGCTGCTAACGCTGTAACGTTGCCAGGGACATCCTTGCAGCTCTTGCTCCGTGGTCCGCCATTTTGTGATGCGTAATGATGTACGGTGATTTGTGATATGCTGTGATTTGTGATGATGTATGGTGATTTATGATGATGTACGGTGATTTGTGATNTCAAAATGTTCATGCTGTTCCCGCACCAAACATCAAGCTGTTCAAAATGTTCATGCTGTTCCCGCACCAAACATCAAGCTGTTCAAAATGTTCATGCTGTTCCCGCACCAAACATCAAGCTGTTCAAAATGTTCATGCTGTTCCCGCACCAAACATCAAGCTGTTCAAAATGTTCATGCTGTTCCCGCACCAAACATCAAGCTGTTCAAAATGTTCATGCTGTTCCCGCACCAAACATCAAGCTGTTCAAAATGTTCATGCTGTTCCCGCACCAAACATCAAGCTGTTCAAAATGTTCATGCTGTTCCCGCACCAAACATCAAGCTGTTCAAAATGTTCATGCTGTTCCCGCACCAAACATCAAGCTGTTCAAAATGTTCATGCTGTTCCCGCACCAAACATCAAGCTGTTCAAAATGTTCATGCTGTTCCCGCACCAAACATCAAGCTGTTCAAAATGTTCATGCTGTTCCCGCACCAAACATCAAGCTGTTCAAAATGTTCATGCTGTTCCCGCACCAAACATCAAGCTGTTCAAAATGTTCATGCTGTTCCCGCACCAAACATCAAGCTGTTCAAAATGTTCATGCTGTTCCCGCACCAAACATCAAGCTGTTCAAAATGTTCATGCTGTTCCCGCACCAAACATCAAGCTGTTCAAAATGTTCATGCTGTTCCCGCACCAAACATCAAGCTGTTCAAAATGTTCATGCTGTTCCCGCACCAAACATCAAGCTGTTCAAAATGTTCATGCTGTTCCCGCACCAAACATCAAGCTGTTCAAAATGTTCATGCTGTTCCCGCACCAAACATCAAGCTGTTCAAAATGTTCATGCTGTTCCCGCACCAAACATCAAGCTGTTCAAAATGTTCATGCTGTTCCCGCACCAAACATCAAGCTGTTCAAAATGTTCATGCTGTTCCCGCACCAAACATCAAGCTGTTCAAAATGTTCATGCTGTTCCCGCACCAAACATCAAGCTGTTCAAAATGTTCATGCTGTTCCCGCACCAAACATCAAGCTGTTCAAAATGTTCATGCTGTTCCCGCACCAAACATCAAGCTGTTCAAAATGTTCATGCTGTTCCCGCACCAAACATCAAGCTGTTCAAAATGTTCATGCTGTTCCCGCACCAAACATCAAGCTGTTCAAAATGTTCATGCTGTTCCCGCACCAAACATCAAGCTGTTCAAAATGTTCATGCTGTTCCCGCACCAAACATCAAGCTGTTCAAAATGTTCATGCTGTTCCCGCACCAACATCAAGCTGTTCAAAATGTTCATGCTGTTCCCGCACCAACATCAAGCTGCTCAGTTTTCACGATGTTCATCACGAACACCGGCTCGGAACTGGTGCCTGGTCCAGTTTTCTTCCGTTTGTGTACTTTTGAGCTAAAAAAGAAAACCAAATCGCATGTAAATTATGTTCTGTTTGAGTCCTAGTTGCACTCAAGCTCACAATTAAGGCGCTCACATCACGCTCATTGAAATGTGAGAGAGTTTGTCCAAATTGCGATGCATTTTCCGCGCTTGTGTGGGTCATATTCACCCAGTTTGACCCGGCATAAATTGTATCAGTGCTATAAGACTGCTGTCTTATGGTTATGAAACTAACGTACAACCCCATGAGACAGGTAGTTGGTTTTCAAGGGTCCACGATGTGCCATGCGGACGAACATAGGCAGGCTACTTTGATACCTCGGTCTGCTACAATGTATATTGATGTACGAGGATGTCTATGATATTTTTGGGTGCTATAATGCTGGAATTTATATTGATAAACGATTTATACATCTCGTATATTGTACTGGTTGGCTGCATGAGCCGACTCTTTTGGATCATTTATGAATCTATTTATATGATAAATAAAATATAAAAATATATATTTATCTATACCTATTATAATATTAAATTGTTCATATCACGTAATAGTCTATTATCATATATTGTCGTATTATTTGAAGAACTATCATGGCACGTTAGTGGCACCCCAGCGTGGCACGTTAGTGGCACCCCAGCGTGGCACGTTAGTGGCACCCCAGCGTG